TATATATATATATATACATATACATATACAAAAAATTTATGTATGTATAGGTTAGTTTAGAAGAAAATTTATGTATGTATAGGTTAGTTTAGAAGATTAACATGAAACAAGAACTTTTATCAACGATCTGTCCTCTATCAAAAATATTGATCTTTCCACAAACAAACTCACCGGCAGTATTCTCGATAGTATCGGAAGTCTGAAAGGTATCCAAAAGATTCTTACCGTGTTTCATCTGTTAAACAATTGTTGAGATGAATTTCAGCAATGGAGATTTTACGAAAATCAAAAGAATTTTGCAAAATGTTTACACCTGATTTTACAAAAACAAACTATTGATTCAAATTTCAGACGTTTGTCAGTTTACAAAAACAAGCAGTCTTATTGATTCAGACTTCAGGACCACCTGCTTATTAATCAGAAGTGAAACAAGACTTCAACCTTCAACACCTCTTAAAAAACAAATGTGAACTTAGTTTTGTCTCCTCTTAACCCCAATCTAACCCATCCCGTCTCCCTTTTTCTTCTTCCCCCAAAACCATCGACACAACACCGGACCCCATTACCCCAAACCTACCGACCTCCCATTTATCATATACACAGTTACACACACCCCACCCCCACCGAGACCCATCTTTACCGGCAGCCTCCCTCACCATTCTCCATAGTCCCTCGGTGAAACCSAACACAAGCTGCACATCACCTGCAACTATTTTCCACTCTCTTCTTTATCTATCTCCCTCTCTTTGTTTTTATGTGTTATCAGTAATTAGAAAAACAAAACAAACACACACATGACACAACACAACCAACGAGACCCACCATCGTGATCCCCCCCCCCCCCCCTGGCCATTCCCCACTGTGTTTGTAAAATGTTACAAATTGTGTGTATGTGAAATCTCAACGGTCCTATGAAGTAAAGAAATGTGTATTTGTGTATGTGGTGTGGGTTCTAGCTTGTGTGTCTTCATGTGCGTGAGTTAACGCAAGCATAATGTGTGATGTGGGTTGATTACGGTGGAGGAGGTGTGTGTGTGTTTATGTTGGGTATATACATGAATTTGTGTGTGTTGTGGGTTAAAATTTGGGTTTAAAACAAGTCTAGTTCCTGCAACTCTACAAAAAGTGGGTTTAAAATGAGTCTATCTGGGATCAAAATTTTGATTTTGGAAGAATGGAAATGGTTGATTTTGGYGTGTGCAGGCATCAGGAGGATATTGGTACGCATTAGCCATACAACGAGTTGTTTCATGCTTAGTCAAACAATGCCATGCTGGCAAGATATGTAGCCGACTCATTCTATCATGCCAAAATAATTCAACTCCAGATCAAACTCCATCTGTTTGGATGAAGATGGATCTTTTCCTTATGGAATCTATGAGTHTGCCATTCCCATTATTTCAACTGATTCTGTCGCCACCAAGATTTTGTACAGCAATCTTTGGGGTCTCATGTCTTTCAGG